ATGGTGATGTTTCTGACTATTCCTTTCTCTCCCCCTCCAGTGTCTATTTTATATTATAATGCAAGGAAAACCAAGATTCAAAAGACAGCCAAGCAACTTAACATTATTCCCCCTTTTTCCCCATTCCAACCATGTCTCAATCTCTGTATGCCAGAGCCCTGTAGTTCCAAGGTTGTGCATACATCATTCTTTAACTCTGTCCCACTTAGTCCATTAAAACCTGCATAATTGTTCTCCCATCTGCTTTGTTCTTCCATTCCCCTCTCCCTTCTTGTATATTGCCCCCCTCCCCAGCACCCAAACATTCCTTATGCACGTTTTTTAAACCATACACTATCCCCTAGTTCTGTTCGAATGACTGTTTCTTGGTTTATGTATAGGTTTTTCATGAGCACAACTGAGTATTCCAGAATTCTCATTCTTTGCAATGTTGTTCATAATTTGTCATGACCCACACAGTTGAATGCCTTTATATAGTCAATAAGGCAAACATTTTTTTTCTTATTCTCTGTTTTTAGCCAAGATCTGTCAGACATCAATAGTGATATTCTTCTTTCCACATCCTCTTCTGAATCCAACTTGAGTTTCTAGCAACTCCCTGTTGATGTACTACTGCAGTAATTTAAAAATTATCTTCAGCAAAATTTTATGTGCATATTCTATTAATGATATTGTTTGGTAATTCCTGTATTCTCATGGATCACCTTTCTTTGGAATGGGCATGAATATCAATGTCTTCCAGTCAGTTCAGCAGGTAGCTGTTTTCCACATTTCTTGGTAGAGATGAAGGAGCACTTCCAGCATTGCATCCATTTGCTGAAACATCTCAATTGGTATTCTGTCAATTCATGGATGCTTGTTTTCAACAATGTATTCAATGCATCTTGGATTTCTTCCTTCAATACTATATAATCTTATATATTTATCTTTGGCTGAGCCTCCAACTCCCTCTTACTCTTCTGTACAACGGGGACTTTCAAGGAGACTAATAAGTATGTCTGTTACAGCCTCAGCTCTAGCACCAAGACTGGTCAAACAGCCATGCCACTCTGCTGTTTGGTAGCTGAGAGTCATATTTTAATTCCAAGTAGTGTTGGGTAAGAAGAGTCATTTAGTGGAAAATCTACTTGACTCACATAACTCATTAATAGCTTTCAGTTCGAGTCTCATCTCATAGTGTTTTATCCATATTATGTTCACAGCACCCATCACATTGTTTTCATGTTGATTTTTAGTCCAGAGTGCAGAATTTGACTACTAACCGAAAGGTCAGTGGTTCAAACCCACCAGCCATTCTGCAGGTGAAAGATGTGTCTCTGTAAAGATAACAGCCTTGGAAACTCTATGCGCTAGTTCTACTGTGTCCTATAGGGTCGTTGTGAGTTGGAATTGACTTGATGGTAATAATTTTACCCAACACTATATAGTTCAAAAGGAAGGCAAGCCTTTAGGCTGGAGCCTGGTCCTCTCTGACCACAGGCAATGTCCTTCCCTCTTCGTTGCACTGCGTCCCTCAGGCAAATAGAGAGTTTCACAAGTTCCTGATGAGAATGGAAACAAATCCAGCTTGTTTCAGCTGTGCCAGTTCTTGGGATTTGCAGTCTACATGTATGTTCATCGGTAAGTTAATAGAGAGTCTGACAATTCCTCTTACATGATCCTTCTTAACAATCAATGCTTGAGGGGAAAAAAGAAGCAGGACTTGAAACATACGTGCCTGCCTTTTTAAAGTGCTAAAGAAAAGATGGTGCTGAACCAAGCAGTGGGGTTATGCATGACATTGCTATGAATCAAAACCAACTAGATGACACCCAACCATAACAATTTTTGGAGCGATATGCAAAACAGGCAAGTTGGAAATAGAGTTCCCATCTGAAAGGGGAATGAGTGGAGGTGGTTCCGACTCATAGTGACACTGTATAGGGTTTCTGAGGTTGTAAATCTTAATGGGAACACAAAGTCTTATCTTTCTCCCATGGAATGGCTGGTAGATTTGAACTACTGACCTTTTAGTCAGCAGCCTAACTTGTAACCCACTATACTATCGGGGCTCCTTGAAAAGGGATTGTTATTTTTGTTCAGTGCTGTTAAGTCAGTTCCAACTCATAGCGACCCTGTATAGGGTTTCCAAGGAGCAGCTGGTGTGTTTGAATCACTGACCTTGTGGTTCAAACTGACCTTGTGGTCCAGTTCTTACCCTACCAGTGTTCTTGAAAAAGGATTGCTGCTGATGTTAAGTGTCTTTGGGTCAGTTCCAACTCATAGTGACTCTGTATAGGGTTGCTGAGAAGTGACTGGGTGAGTTTGAACTGCCAACCTTGCAGTTCAAACAGAACTTGTGGTTGAGTGCTTATCTTACAGCGCAACACCTGGACTACACAATCTTGGAGTGAACGCAAGCTTGCATCCAATGACAATCGGATGAGTTTCCCAGGGTTCTCTTAAGATGTAAAGAGCAGGAGAGAAGAGGCAATGAAAACTGAAGAGTAATGCAGGGCTCTAGTTTCCCTGGAATCCTGGTGTGGCACTGTGGGTTAATGCACTGGACTGCAAGGTCAGTTTGAACTGCAAGGTTGGTGGTTTAAGCTCACTAGCCTCTCCTGGGAAATCCTATACAGGGTCGCTATGGGTCAGAACTGACTTGATGGCACTTAACAACAAGAACAATACTATATTAGATATTTATTATTTTACTGTTCATATCTCCCTCAGAAATGTAAGTTCCTTAAAGACAAGAACAAATATCTCTTAATTGTGTACTTTATGCCAGAACATAGAAAAGTGTCTGGCATAAAGTACACAATAAGTAGCTATCTGTTGAATGAATGTGTGAACCAACATATACTGCTATAAATTAATTCTGTAATAACTAAGCTGGACATAATTAGTATTCAGTGGTAGAATGTAATTAACCCAAATGACTGATGATTGGGTTTTGATGTTGTGGAAGTTGTTTTAATTTTTTTTTTTTTTTCTTGAATCAGAACCGACTCCATGGCACTTAAAAACAACAGCAAATAAATGTCAAATGAGAAGCTGTATGTAAATCACTTTTATATGGCTTGTCATATAGCAAACCCACTGCCATCAAGTTGATTCTGAGTCATAGTGGCCCTATAGGTCAGCGTAGAACTGTCCCCAGGGATGTAAATCTTTCTGGACTCAGACTGCTATGTCTTTTCTCTGTCAGATCAGCTGCCAGGTTCAAGCTAAGCACCTTTAAGTTAATAACCGAATGCTTTAATCATGAAGCCACAGGGGCTCCTGTTTCTCACCTGCCCACTGTTGTTGAGTTGATTTCAACTCATAGGAGCCCTATAAAGACAGAGTAGAACCACCCTATAGGAATTCTAAGGCTGAAAATCTTTACAGAAGCAGACTGTCACATCTTCTTCTCCTCAGAGTTGCTGGTGGATTTGAACTGTTGACCTTTTGGTTGGCAGCTGAGTGCTTTAACCATTGTGTTATGCTGTGGTGAAATTAACCCTGATGCTAACTTAATGGTAGCTGTCATCACCATTTCCATCATCAACAGCAACAGCATTAACATCACTATGATCATCATTTAGAAAGATTCACAGTATTCATATTTAGTAGCTTTGAGAAAGGAATGCATATATATGCACATGATACGTATATTTCATATTCAAAAGTATGGTTGTAAATGGTTAAGTATGAGAGGACTTTAAAGTTTATAGAAAACTTTCATTATCTTTCTATTCCATTTTTCTATGAACTTTTTAAAAATTCCCTCATATGTCAGTTTGACTGGTGGTAGGATATGCTAATGATCAAACAAACTGATCACATTTGTTTGCTAAGTTTCTGCTCTATTCCTTAGAGAAGTCAGGAGAGAAAAGAAATATAAAACAGCCCACAATATTTGGAAGTTTACATCTCTTCAATGAATAAGGCAGAGGTTCTAGGTAAACAGAAAACAAACTTTAGAAAAAAGTACTTGCTAAAACAAAGTTAATGTATAAACACTATGCTTGAATCTGTTATCCCACTTGTCTCCTTCTTTGATAAAAGATAGAATGTAAAATCACAAGAATGAAAGTTTCAGTACCGTCCAAGGGGATCCCCAAAAAGAGTACGTTGGAGGCATGCAGCATGACGCGTCGCATGAGGGTCAGCACGTCCACATAGCCAGATGCAGTAGTGACCTCCTCCAGCCTGTCCAGATGCGTTTTGATGGATTCGACGCAAATCGCCACCATTCGTACAAGTCTGGGGCCAGACAAAGCTGAAGAGTACACATGAGTCAAGTAGCTACCATGAATAATCAGGTTATCCTGGGCTTTTTTTTTTTTTTTTGGTGTTCAGAGCTTAATTATCCACAATTTATAACTCAATAGCTGGGTGAGAGCCTTTATGTTGTAGAGCAATAATATCATGGACTCTGTTTAAAGTTAAAGTAAAAGAGGCTAACTGAGGGATAGAGATGGTGTGGACTGGGAAGATGTCCAAATTTACAGAGAGAAATGGCCTTTCCATCAGACAATGAAGAAGAAAGCATTGGTGTACAGTTGGAGCAAGAACTAAAAGTTAGAACATCATAATTGGCTGATAAACAATCAAAAGAATCAATGATAGGTGGCTAACAGAAAAGTGGGATCACACAACAGGTTAAGGGACCACATGCTGTTAGGTTTATTACAGATGGTCATAGTGCAATGGCAGAATTGGTTTTTGGGTTGTTGTTGTTAAGCGCCATGGAGTCAGTTCTGACTCACAGTGACCCTGTATAGGGTTTCCCAGGAACGGCTGGCGAGTTTGAGCTGCCTACCTTGATATTCCTACAGCGTCACACCTGGACCTATAAATGTATTACCTTAACTGGAAAAAGAGACTTTGCAGATGTGATTAAGCTCCAGGACCTCAAAATGGGGAGATGATCCTGGATTATCAGGATGGGTCCCACCAAATAACATGGTGGTGGTGGTGTGCTGTGAAGTTGATTCCAACTCATAGCGACCCTGCATAGGGTTGGTTTCTGAGGCTGTAAATCTTTATGGGAGCGGAAAGCCTCATCTTTCTCCCACAGAACGGCTGGTAGTTTTGAACTGCTGCCCTTGAGGTTAGCAGCCCTACTTGTAACCACTACGCTAACAGATCTCCTTCTAAATCACATGAGTGAGTCCTTAAAACAGAATGTTTCCAGGCTAATGTCAGAGTCAGAAAGACATGGTGGAAGAAGTGTCAGGGAGCAGAAATGTGAAGGACTTGACCTGCCACTGCTAGCTCAGAAGATGGAGGAAGGGGGCCTGGAGTCAAGGAATGTGGGAAGCTAGAAAAGGCAAGGGAAGAGATTCTCCTCTAGAGCCTCCAAAAGGAACATAGTCCTACTGATGCCTTGATTTCTAATTTATTGAGGCCCATGTCAAACTTCAAGGAGCTCTGCTAGCGTAGTGGTTACAAGTCAGGCTGCCAACCTGTCAGCAGTTCGATACAGTGGTTCCGTGGGAGAAAGATGAGGCGTTCTGCTCCAGTAAAGATTTTCAGCCTCGGAAATGCTGTGTAGGGTCAGAACTGACTCCAAGGTACATAACAATAATAACATGTCAAACTTCGGAGCTACACAACTGTAAAAGAATAAATGTGTTGCTTTAAGACACTAAGCTGTGCTAATTTGCTATGGCAGCTATGTTGTTGTTGTTATGTGCCGTGAAGTCGGTTCCAACTCATAACAACCCTGTACAGGGTTTCTGAGGCTGTAGGTAACTAGTAAAATGGGCCTGCATGCACTAGAGTTGTCCTGAGTCAGGTGATGAGTGGCTTCACAGATGGAGGAGCAACACTCTGCTTAGACAGGCATAGCTTTCCTTGTTTTAATAGGACACGGGAGGTATCTAAGTTCACTGAGCAGGCTGGCTGGAGGGAAGAATACAGATGGTACATCATCAGACCTAAGACACATCTAGTCCCCAGTTCTATCACTGACCAGGTTTCCTGGGAATGTCTGTCTTCCTTGATGTTAATGTCAAAGGTTGGTTGTATGTTTCTGTTCCCCAACAGCTTCATTTCTAGCAACACTTAGTAGAGAGAGGGGGTGATGGAAATCACTGGATAAGGAAGCTTGTGAAAGGGTCTCTGATCTTTTATTTCGGACTGTGTGTAGCCTAAGCATCAATCACAACCTCTCATTTCTTCAGTTATAAAACTCAGAAGCTGGACTGGATGACTTTCTAGTTCTAAAATTCTCTAATTTCATTCACACATTTTCTTTCTACTAAAACATCTGGTCTAGACTGCCAGGCAATGATTGAGCAAACACATTTTTTGGCCATGTTTAAATCAAACATATGGTTGGCGCATTACAGTCTTAACTGAAATGACCCTAAGAATAGGACTCCATCTCTTCTTTATGTCCATGAAGAACAGACTTTATGGTGGTCCAAAAGTAGGTGTGGGGTTGTATCCTCCTGTTCACTAGTATTAGAACCTTGGGCAAATTCACTTCTTTCTACATTGGTTTTGTGATCTGTAAAATTAAGTAATAAAAGTGTTGACCACATGAGGCTGCTGTGGAGTTAATATACCAACTGCTTAGAACAGTGTCCACGTTAGAGTAAACACATCCTGAACGTTAGCTGCTCTTCTTATTGTAATTTTAGAATTATGAAGCAGTGGAAATGAAAAATATGACTTCAAAAAAAAAAAGATACACTCACAAACAAAAGAACAGAAGGTAGCCAGGTATCTGCTTACCTTGCATGAAGAAAGGACGAATCACTTTCCAGAGGGCTGGATTGTTGTTAAATATGATGCCGTTTTCATGCATGCCGATACACTGTAACCCAAATTTGCTGCCAAATCGGGAGATGTAATGACTATGCTTCATAATATGGGTCATACTTGAGGACCTAAAAAGACAGCAGGCTTTGGTATTAATCTGTATTTGCTTATTAGTTCTTTTTTTGAACTTTTTTTTTTTTTTTTTTGTAGTTTGAGTGACAGTTGATAGAGCAAATTAGTTTCCCATTCAACAATTTATACATATTTTGTTCCATGACATTAGTTACAATCTCCTCATTGTAGCAGCATACTTTCCACTTTCTTCCTGGGTTCCCTGTTTCCATTCATCCTTCTTCACTGCCCCTTCCTGCCTTCTGAACTTGGTATTTGGGTAAATGTTGCCCTTTTGGTCTATACGGTTAGTTGTTCTGAGAATTATGTTCCTTCATGGTGTTATAGTTTACTTTGTGGAAAAAAATTGAAGTAAAAGATAATGGAATCTTTTTACAAACTTTTTAAGTCCCCTGTATACACATTCTCCAGTCTCTAATAAAGAAACTCTGGTAGCATAGTGGTTACAAGTCGGGCTGCTAACTTGAAGGTCAGTAGTTCGAAACTACCAGCCATTCCGCAGGAGAAAGATGAGGCTTTCTGCTCCCGTAAAGGTTACAGCCTCGGAAACCCTATGCAGGGTCACTATGAGTCGGAACCAACTCTATGGTACAGTACCACCACCAGCCTCAAATAAGGTCTGGCCTTCCAAATGGAATATCAGTCTGGGTTTGAAGGATATATCTTCTTCAGCAGTTCTTGTCTTGAGGTTGGCTGACTGTCATGGGCTATCTTGGTTTTCTGCATTCCATGAAAGAATGACTCATCAGTCTCCAGGATCACAAAGTCTCCCTGATTCAGGAAAAGGAGAGCCATTAGACAGCCATAGCTGAGGCAACACTGGGCCCTTGCCAATAGTGCAGGCTCATGCCAGCTTCTAAAGCCTGACTGATTGCTTTGCCTTCCCAGGAGGAGCCCAAGAACTAGGAAGGAAGGGGTAGTTCTTCCTGCTTCTCCACTCCTCATTAATTTCCTCTTCCTGCCCCCCACATCCCAGTCTAATTAAGACTGAGACCTATCAAATGTCATAAAATTCTAGCTGAAGAAGCTAGAGGTCCTGTCCCAGTGGTGTTGCTAGGGGGGTACAGGGGGATGTGTAAAGATTTACAGCCTCAGAAACCCTATTCAGCTTGGCACATAACTACCACTACCAGTGTTTTTATAGTTAGTGATTTTGTCAAATTTTCTAGTGTTTTAGCTATAATACTGTGGCAATTTAGCTATAATACTGTAGCTAAAGCACCAGAATATTGTGGTCCTGGTATAGCGCTATACGATAAGCACTGGACTTCAAGGTCAGTTTGAACCACGAGGTCAGCGGTTTAAACTCACCAGTCACTCCTTGGAAACCCTAAACAGAGTCTGTGTGAGTTGGAACCAACTCAACAGCACTTAACAACAACAACAACAATTGTGGTCATTAGTATTTGTGAACATATATCAATAATTTTTTTAAGAATTAAGCTGCTATTAAAGGAAAAGGAGAAAAATCAAATAAGGCTTACACTCACTTATTAATAATGTAATTTCAATGCAGAAAGATATTACTAAACAATTTTGTTATCTTTAAACAATTTACAACCATATTTATCACATATTATTCTACGATTAAAATTGATAGAAAGCATCACTAATGATTTTGTATGGTCTGGTACGGGAGCAAGTCCTTGGGTGGGGGTGTGATACCAAGAGCACTTGGTGACACCAACCCTAATAATGTCCCTGAGCTGCACATGTGAAGAAAAAATTATCTTCTCAGGCCAGTGGTGCAGAATTCCTCTGTGCAGAGAGACTTACTTTATTGAGAAGATGTTCTGTGAACCCCTAGACCCTGAATGAAGAGAACATGACTCTTCATGATGAACGGTGGTGGTGGCAGGTGCACTGGGTGGTAGGTCTAAGTGGCACCAGTGGAGAACAGAGGGAGAGGAGCTGAGATGAATGTTGGATGTGGAAAGGAGTTGGGGAGGAGAAGGTTCAGCAAAGGATTGAGTCTGGGAGAAAACAATGTCTATTAGGAATTTGTGAAGTTGACATTTGTGAGGTATGTGTTATAAACTCTTTACTCATCTACCAAGAGGGGAAAAACGTAGAAACCAGAGGAAAGGGCCTGAGGAAAGAGAAAACAGATTAGAGGAGGCACCTTATACAGGGTCACTATGGGTCAGAACTGACTCGATGGCACTTAACAACAACAACAACAAGCCTGGCTGAGGACTAAGTGATGACTGTTGCTACGCAGCTGTTAAGTGTCTCTGAGCCAATTCCAATTCATAGTGACCTCACGTGACAAAGTAGAATGCCCCACAGGGTTTTCTAGGCTGTAATCTCTAAGGAAGCAGATCATCGGGGGTTTCCTCCTGCACAGCAACTGTTGTTGTTGATGCTGTTATTGTTATTAAGTGCCATCGAGTTAATTTTGATTCATAGCGATCCTGTATAAGGTTTCCAAGGAGTGGTTGGTGGGTTTGAACCACCAACCTTGTGGTTCAAACCAACCTTGCAGTCCATTGCTTTATCCCACAGTGCCACACCAGGACTCCAGCATCAATGGGTGGATTCAAATCGCCAACATTTTGGTTTCCAGTCAAGAGCTTAACTGTTGTTCCTGCCAGCAGGTGTCCTTGCTTCAAAGATTCAAGGTCATGAGATTGGAAAGATTTCCTGAGCTCATAAACTAAGCGGCTAACCCTCTTATGATGAGTAAGAGGAAGGGTGTTCAAGGCACATGAGGATGGTGTTTATCATCAGCACATGGAGAGGACAGCAAATAGAATTGTCCATTATTTTCACGAATGTCAATATTGCAGACTTAGAGCGACTGAACTGCAAGATGTATCAAATGTCATTGGTGTTATCTTTATATCAGATGTTTAATTTTGATTAACTTTATGTTTATTGCAACTTTGGTTTTTCCTCCCCTCGTATTCACTGAAATCTTATTTTCAACTGCAGGTTTTGCTACCATGGGTTTTTTGTTTTGTTTTGTCTCCGAACACACAGGCCTCAAGATAGGGAGTGGCTCCTATATTACAATGGTTTTCAAATGGCTGTTGTAACACATATTCCTCCCTCTCAAATTTGATACTTGATTCCAAAAGGACCGACTTAACCACAGTGAGGTAGTTCAGCTGATGCCTGCTGAAGTAGATTTCCATAGAAGACATGGACCTAAAGAGCTTTGCTCTGGCTGAGCGGATTAAGCTGTGAGCTTAATTAGCCAAACTCTTACATTCATGGAAGGGTTGTAGTCCATGTTGTTGTTGTGAAGTGCCGTCAAGTCGATCCCGACCCGTAGCGACCCTGTATAAGGTTTCCGAGGAGCGGCTGGTGAGCTTGAACCACCAACGGTGGTTTGCAGTCTGGCGCATTAACCCACAGCGCCACACCAGGACTCCATAGTACTATTTAAAATTTAAAAGCAAGCCTCTAAAGTAATGGCAGTATGTGTCGCTGTAAGATTCTCACCAGACTCCAAACTACAAGGTCCGCAGTTGAAATCCACCAGCTGCTCCTTGGAAACCCTACACAGGATCGCTCTGAGTCGGAACTGACTCGAAGGCTCTTAATAACAACAACTATAAATGAAAGTGGAATTATTATTATTATTCTATAAGTCAGTGATTTGTTGTTGTTGTTGTTAAGTGCCATCGAGTCGGTTCCGACTCATAGTGACCCTGAACAGGGTTTCCGAGGTTGTAAATCTTTACGGGAGCAGAATGCCTCCTCTTTCTCCCACGGAGCAGCTGGTAGTTTCGAACTGCTAACCTTACGGTTCACAGCCCGATTCGTAACCACTATGCTACCAGAGCTCCTATAAGTCAATGAGTTACATAATATTTATCTCAGGAAAAATTCCTATTTACAAATCAAAACACTATTAAGTCAAATTTTCTTGACTCCCCAGACAATATTCACCAAATGATTCTGAGTTTTAGGTAAGTTTTTCTCTTCCTAGAAACAAACAAACAAAAAAATCCAGATGCTTCTATTTGTATTTCAGGCAATTAATTTGACTGACAAATAGCTCAAATTTTTGTTCTACATAGAAAAATCATGCAGAGTAAACTGAAATTCTTATTAACTAATAGATTTGTGGCATTTGGCGGTTCAGTCTTACCAGCCGCTCCTTGGAAACCCGATACAGGGTCACTCTGAGTTGGAACTGACTGGACAGCACTTAACAACAACAGCAACAACAGATTTGAAAATGCTAGCAGGAAGTAAGTAATTTGTATAATCTTCATTCACAAACTCATTATCAAAAATTGTTAAGTATATTGCAGACAACCAGAACAGGATTTTTTTTTTTTTTTTTGCTACCACCTCTTGACATTTTGTCCATTGAAATAACCACATTGACTTGTCAATTTCTTTTGTGGAACTGCTAACTATTAAAAAAAAGAAACTAAAAAAACAAAACACACACACACAAACTAGAGACCCAACTAAGGAGTCCTTGGGCAGTACAAATCGTTGAGCCTTAGACTTCTCCTAGCTGAAAGCTTGGCGGTTCAACCCCTCCCTTACACCCAGGTGTCTCTAGAAAGAGACTTGGACAACGGTCTTGAGAGCCCAATGGAGCAAGTCGGAATCTATGGACTTGGGATCATCTTTAGTAGGAAATGACAGCAAACTAACAAGGGTTCTTTAGTCAATAAGAGCTTTAAAAACCTGTGTCCATTAGGGGGCGCCAACATTTTAGTTATTTTGGATCAGAGGCTCAGACCAGACATGGGACAGAGCAGACAAAGCAGAAGTAGTACACACAGAAATCAGCAAAATGTCATGGGCCCTAGAAGACCCATTTAAAATGAGGTAATTAATCAAAACTAGGTGGATGAGTCTCATGAGAGTAAACTGAGAAACTAAAGATGAGAAAGTTGGTGAAGAACGAGGGACCCCCAACCCAGAACTCCTCCTGGCATCCATGGTCACTGTGGAGAGCTCACTCTGACTGTGTATCTAGGACTGTTAACACTGATTGAGGGAACGTTACATTGACTATTTGGGAGAG